AAAAAAAAAAAAAAAAAAAAAAAAAAAAAAAAAAAAAAGTCTATATTGGATACAGTTGACCTGTTTTGTCCATATTGCAACAAATTCAATATCATAAAAAATTCAAACTTGATTTTGTCCCATTATTACTACATGTTGAAGTCCTGAATCATTCTTCTATGCACCTAAAAAAGATCTACACTCACAAGTTATTTCTTACATAACTGCTTCCAAAAAGTAGATGTGCAAGTCTGCAAAAGATTTGAAAGGTCGTTGCAGACTACTTTTTGCCAGAGAACATCGATGTCTGAATTCAAAAAGCAATTCTGATATGGCCTTTGAAAAAAATCCCACTCAGCCCTTGGCCACACCTCCGGGGGAAACTCGCTGTGATAGGGGGTCTCCAACACACTCTGTTTCATCCTTTCAAGTTCAAGTTACATTGTGAAATAGCTTATCAATCAAAGAGCTTTATGCTATCTTCATGGAAATCACACTGCGTTAGCTGAACCTTCAGAGAGATCTTTCCAAGAGGTTTAAAAACCCCTGAAAATAGATGAAGCGTAAATAAACAGAACAGCGAATGTGGATTATGGGAGAACCAGCAATTTTTATATCTAGATGAAGATTCCTTGGAAGAAAGAAAAAGAAAAAAACTAAATAGATTTTATCCAGACCAAAAGTGAAGTAAATTCTACTTGTACAGAGTAGATGTATGGTGTCACCACTGTGATACCCAATCTCCTTAAATACAAATGCAGAGTTTTGTCTGGTGTGTCAGAAGGAATATTTATAAGAATTGAGGCAACACAATCAGATGAGACAAGCAATTTCAATTTACTGCAGCATCACAGCTAGTGCTGCAGTTTTGTTTCCTGAATAATTGGAAGAAATCTTCCATGCCATATTTCAGACCAGTGATAAGAAAACAACATTCAGTAGGCATAAGCTGGCTGAGCTGTGTTCAGAGGCAATGCCTTAAGTATTTTGATTTGAATTAGAAACAAGACCTTTCTAGATCACCTTTCATTGCGTCTTACTGCTCTTCTTGGTTGGGATAGAACTAATTTTCTTCATAGCAGTTCATATAGTCCTGTGTTTTGGACTTGTGATGAAAATAGCGCTGAAAACTCTCCGATGTTTCAGTTATTGCAGTACAGTGCTGCACAGAGCCAGGGACATCTCAGCTTCTTGTGCTGCCCTGCCCGTGAGGAATCTGGGGCTGCACAATTGCTGGGAGGGGGCATGACCAGGACAGCTGACCTAAATTGGCCGAAGGAATGTCCAGTACTATGTGGTGTTGTGCTGAAGAGTAACAGTCAGGGAACTGGCTGAGAGACCTGGTGTTGCTTGGAGGCTCACTGGGCATCAGTTGGCTAGTGGTGAGCAGTTGTGCTGTGTATCATTTGCTTTGCTTCTGTTGTTTTGTTTGTTTCATTTTGTTTTGTTTGTTCTTTAATTTTCTTTGGTGATACCAAAATAATTCACAAAATGTTTTTTTGCTATTTTTTGTACAGAACAGAAAGTCAGGGAGGGATTAAGTTTTCCAAACTGATGAAATAATGTCATGGTTTTTATTTTTCTCCATATCCATGATTGCAACAGTTACGCAGGAGGTGCAATTGGTTGGACTTATCTTGACAAAGGGCTTTTATTATGGGACTAACTACCATGCTTTAGAACATCCTGGCATGGACTATTTTATATCTCCCCATCTAGATTACTCTGCTTCATATCATTGCTAATTCAGAAAAATCACTCAAGCAAAGATTGGTGTATAGTTAGTCACATCTCATTTGAGCCTCTTAAACATAAATATTGAGTATCAGATTATGGCCCCTTGTGAATTAGAGTTCTGACCACAAGCTCTATAGACTTGTGGAATTCTTGGCTTTCTTCTAGTGCAGTGTGAATTCTGACAATAATCTTTTCTTCCAGCTTAGTTTTACTGCCATTGACATAGGAGTGCCAGAGAGGTTGTGACTCCCTGAATTTAATGCCCTACTCTCATAGGTAACCATTTCTTGCAATCTCCGTCATGAACTGAAATCATTCCATCTTAAAAATTGTTTTTTGGTTCTCTCCACTCATAACAGAGGCTGTTCCTAAATTTAGAAATGTCTGGTGAGATTTCTTTCTAGCTTCTAGCCTTGTATTTATTCCTGTCTGAATTACAGTTGTACATTTTTCAGTGAACACACTTTAAACATTTTCTTTCCTACTTCACGCTATCAGTCTGTATTTTCCTAACTTTGAGAACTCATTCTTTCCAGGACTATTATCGTGTGAAAAGTACTTCATTTTCCTGATTATCTCATTAGCTTGTCTCTGTGTATTCTGATTCTCTGTTATTTTTCTATTTATGAAATAGCAGAAAATAGAAATAGCAGAAATAGAAGAAGAAAGATCTCTTAGGCTGTTTCTGGCTTTGTCCCTATTTTATCTGCCTTTTGCCAGGGAAGTTATCATGGTGAAGTCTGCTGATCGCAGGGGGCCAAGTTTTCATTTCTGAGTTGATGAGGTGTGGATAAGTGATAGGTCACAGAATGTGACAGGTTTTCTGAATGTTCGGACGTCCCAGCACAGTGAGGAGGCTTTGTTTAATGCTGAAGCGCATACGGTGCACATGTCACAGCACTTTAACGAAGGTGCAGACATGGCTATGATGCTTATAAAATCATGGAATCATAGAATTATAAAACATAGAATCGTAGGATTGCAGAATGGCTTGGGTCAGAAGATCATCAAGTTCCAACCCACTTGCATGTACAGGGTTGCTACCCACCAACTCAGGCTGCCTGGGGCCCAACCCCACATAATAATTACCACAATTGCAAGCTTTTTTTTTTTTTTTTTTTTTTAATATATATATGTATGAATAGGGGAAAGTTGAGGAAAACAGGAGTAGTATTAAGAAGTGCTGAAGAGTAAACCTGAGCTGCAGAGAAGATAAGGAACCTTGAAATGGAGGAAATTTGGATCTAATCCATTTATATAATACTTTTTTAGTGGTCTGTTTTCTCTTCAGAAACAGGTTCTTGGTAAAAAAAACATATAGTCAATATGTAGATTCCGATGTTCAGCTGGATATGATAAATATGTAAAAGACAGACATTTGAGGTAACAGAGAGTGCCACTGGAAGATCTAATAGGTGAGCTGACCTGCTTGTAGTTTTCTTGTTAGGGTCTTCCAGTTCCTTATGAATGCTCTGAAGAAACTGGATATACATGGATGTCTGGATAACATATTTTTTTTTCCTGTAAAATAATGCAAGAATAGATATATATATACACAAATTACAAAGAGATTACACTCTGGATTAACACAGTTTGCAGTGGTTCAGGGTCATTGACAGCCATACAGTTATAGTTAAAGATGGAGTTGTTTGAGAGATTTGCTCTCACTGTGTGGTTATAAGAGGATGTGAATGAAATCTGATATCTCCATATACCACCCTGTTTTTCACAGAGACAGAGGCTGGAGGAACAGGGGAGCCTGCCTGATAGCTGAAGAAAGCAGTCTCTGACAAAGAGTGTCTAATCATCTGAGCATCCCTGTGGTACCCTGCCTCACCCAGTGCTGGAGCTTATTCTCTGATGTGAGTGATACAGATTGATTCTGAGTGGAGGGAAGCTGAGATGGTTTTCAAAAGCAATGTTTCTTTGTTTCTGAAAGAGGGAAGCTAAGGCCTGCGTGCTTGACCCCACTTTTTGTTAGCATCACTTCAGTCTTAGGAGAGGTTGGAGAACTAAGTCCATGCTCAGCCATTAATTCAGCTTTCTAGAAGTGAAACAAAGTGAAGAAGCTTTCTCTTGCAGGAGGAAACAGCACTGTAACAGAGAACAACTTTTTTTTTCATTTGTCCCTTCTGCCTTGGGTTCTGAAGAGAAGTTGGGAAACTTTGAGTCATCAGCTCCACTCCTGTTGAAGTTGTTGACTTTCATCCTGTTTGTAAATTTGTAAGGCTCCAACTTAAAACTGGTTGTTTCTTATTCACATTACTCCTTACAGAAGGCTATACCAGAACTGTTTGTCTCTGAGACATAATTGGAAAAAAGCCTGAGTTTCTAGTTTGTTTTTCCTTTTTATAATGAGTTAGAGGAAGAATTATGAAGAAATATAATGATTCACCTTTCTTCCCACTATTCATTACAAGGGAATTTGATCTTGGAAGAGGCAGCTATGTTTATGTCTTTTGAGTGATTAGGGCAGTAGCCATCCACAACATGTTTAATAACATCTCAGAGCCTTGCAAGACACAACAAAGACATTTTATAACATAAAAGAGATTTTGACATAAACATTTCATTGCACATCTCAATAAAGAGGGTCTGGATTTCTTTAATTTTGTTATGCTACGTTGCAAATTACATCACAAAAGCATAATACAAGATGCATTGACAACTCAAGAATTTTATGAGATGGACTAGCCTTTAGAAATTTTTCTTCTTAATCTGTAACATGGGCAGCTAGTGGAATGAAAAGTCTGACATATCTAACATTCCATACTGGCTCTCAATCACTCTGTTTTCTGTTTTCCTCAGTTCCTCCCGATCTTTCTTGAGTGGTTACCAAATTACCTAGAATTTTTCACTGAGTAGGCAACTATTGGTTTTCAAATCAAGTATAATTCAAACAATGTCCATGGTCCTGTGTATGGCAAGATGAATGGAATAGAGTATCATCAGCTGGGTCCAAGCTGTGCTACAAGAACCACACATGCTAGTTGCACAGCTGGGGTTCCTGCTCTCCAGCTGAAGTTGGAATCAGCATGTCTCTGTGAGCCCTTCTGCAGGTAGCAGAAAACCTCATCCCTCTGTCTCCTCCTCCATAAATTTTCCATATAAAACATGAATTTAAGTTAGGTGAAGATCTCTTAAACATGTTAATGTTTCACTGAGACACAAATACATTAAAATATTTTTACTTAACTGAGTTTCTGAGTCATGAAGAGTAAGAAGAAAATAACATATACATCACAGATCTGAAACTTTGATAAGTTTCTGAGTAGTGTTGTGTAGGCTTCGTACATCTTTATATAATCACGTTCTCACTCATGGTACTGGATAAGTTTTGCACAAGAAAAGAAGCAGTTAATGGAGGGAAAAGTCCAAGAAAGGTCACATTTATTTATGCTACTTTATTACAACTTTTTTAAGGGAAAGGGGTTTTTTCATTAAAAGTAATTTAAAAAGTGAAAATTATAATGCAGACTACAAGCAATTAATTTGTGTCCTGTGCTTGGTAATCTGCTCACCAAAAGGAAGTTTATCTTCAGAGATCAAAAGACAAAAGTCACACTCAGAAATATGTTCTCTCATGTCACATTGCATGCTTTAAATAGCAAAATTTAAAGCTGACACTTGATTTGAAATACCTTTTTAAGGTCTCCATGGAGACAGTGTTGTCTTCGCAAAAATGTTTTTGTGGGGTACAAGGCAGAAATTCACAACAGCTTCAAACTTCCAAATTGTACCAAGAAACTTTTCTTTTTCTAAATTAAATTAAGACAACAGGGCAAAATCTACCAGGCCATTTCTAAATTACTGACAAAACAGAACACTGCTGTTTGAAAATACCTTTTCAGAGTGCTGAACAACGAAGGTGTGTGATCTTAATTAATGCCAATAAATATCAGCATTTCCCACTATAGTGGGAATCAGAGGCTTTGAGAATAATCAGGTTACATTTAACACTATGTGCTGATGAGAGCTTATCTGCAAAAGACTTGTTTGTGTAACCCCTACACTCCAATAATGCTAACAGTCATGGACAAGCTAAGTAGGTTAAGCTTCTTGAAGATAGATTTTGAGTTTTTAGGGATTTTTTTTTTTTTTTAAATAGGAAAAAAAAGCAATTAAAATTCCCTTTCTGTGACAACTATTTGAAAATCGTTTCTTGAAAGAGAATAAAATAAAATCTCCAGTATAGTGGAGCTTTATTGTCCTGGCACTCTGAAAGGCAACAGTCAAGAACCAGAGACAAGTATGGTCTGGAGGAGTAGAGTACTCATGCAGAGACAAGCAGGGTGTCCTCTCATCAGCTTTCAGATGCTGTCAGTTTCTGAGCTCCTGTCCTTTGGTCTCTTATAAAAGGAAGGTTCATCAAAGGTGGTGCAGTTTTGCAAAATGTCATTAATATTTAATATTTTTTCTGAGAAATAAATGCTGCTAAAAAACTTCCTCATCCATTTCTATGTCTAGGTCTACTCATGGTACATTTTGTATAACAGTAATGAAATAAGTGATATAATTGAACTGCTCATAAAAGTGCAAATGAATTAGCTGATTTCCCAGACACACTGATATCAAATTGTTAATAACAGGAACAATGCAAAATCAGTGGGGAGATTTAAAATAGCTAACAAAACTTAGCTGGAGTCCTGCTGACAACGAAGTTTTAAAATATGATTACAACCAAATTAAAAAAGTGACAATGTCATTTTCAAATCTGACTCCCTAACGCCAGCCCTAGTCAGGCACATGCATCCATGGTTTTAACTGGCTTCTGAAAACCAGCTCCTGAAAACCAGCCCTGTTCTACAGATAAAAGAAATAAAGGCCTTCATGAAGACCGAAGTAGAAAATATAGACTCAGCTCCCTGTGGCTGCAAGAGTTTGCCATGTAAAAGGCTTCAGACATTCAAAAGTCAGTGCTCTGCCACTGCTGAGATGCTGGTGGCTCAACCCAAGGGCATCTCAGGCAGGGGCGTGCTGTCCAGCTGCAGGAGGATGGGTGTGTCCTTCATCGAACACTAGGCAAAACCGTGGCTTCCTTCCCCGAGACTTAATGGCATCCTCTGTTTCAGGGTTTGGTTTTAGCACAGAGCTTGCTGCTGAAGGCTCTCAAATCTTGCTGCCCTGCCGGCTCCTGACACCGCCGGTAGGAGTGGATTTTGCATTTATTACTTCACAGTGACACCTGCTGGAAAAGACCCCTTCCTTAGGCAGGTAAGGTGTATTTTTAGAATGAATGAAACATAAGTTGGACACCGTCAGAAGATTATGTCAAGTTGGGAAAAGGGCGTAAAAAAAAAAGATCAGAAAAACATTGTAAACGTTATGAGAGCCACTAGATCCCCATGAAGTACCCTGTTGTGTACCCCTTAAGACATGAAGCAATTGTCAGCACTTTTATGCCGAAAGTCCTGACTCAGCCAGGTCTCGTCCCCTCCCCAAAGCTATGCATCGTGTATTTCTCTACCGTGATTTCTGAGGGCACTGAAATCTGTTCCCAGACATCTGGTTTGATGCACATAGAGAACAATGTTTTTTCTCCCGTTCCTATGTACTTTTCATGTGCGAGAATGGGCCACTAGGTGTCACTAAATGCCACTAGATCCGTTGTGGTTCCAAGACCCCGTGGATCGTGCTGATACCAACAATGAATATACACCCTGTTCATCACTGGCTTTTTGCACTGGCCAACGTGCAATTTTTCAGGTTTCAGCAAGTTTGAAGAAAAATCTCTGGCTTCCAAGTAGTACACATAAATATTCACCTTTCACTTTAATTTTAACAGAAAAATTTTATTTTATAGTACAGTGTGGTTGAAATATCATTGGTCAGTAGAAGCTGTTACATGATATGTGTTAGCATTTGAGAAGAGCTGCTCTGTGCTCAGGACTAATAGAGCACTAGCACTGCATGCATATTTGTGCTGTGTTTGTTCATCAAGCCTGCACTCAATAGAAGTCTCTGTCTTTCTGTATAGATGAAGCAAAAGCTGCTAACCATATTCTTTTTCAGAATATTTTTGCACTTGAACATTCAGCCCATACATGAGTTAGGACTGAAGCTGATAAATGCAGCTCAGCCTAAGTTTTGTGCAACCCCTCTAGATGGTAGAATAAGTATCATATGAGCCACCTCTTTCTTCACAAAGTTTGTATCCTAGGTTTGCTCCTCTTTTTGGGAGGCATGGGTGTTCACAGAGAGGGAGGTTAGGGATGCAGTGGCCAAACTGTTTTGAGTAGTGGCAGACAGGCCAAGGGTTGTGCCACCAAACACTTCTGTACCGCGATAGGGACTGAGTCACAGGATGTACGTTTGTCGCTGTCTTTACAGAAGTCTGTGCTGGAGCTATTAATGCTGAGCTCTGACTGCTGACCCAAGGTGTAACCCTGTCAGACATCATTTCCTCAAGCTAGCGGAGACAAGGACCTCCTGGAGAAACCCCCAAAGATATTTGTGTTTCTACAGTTAACTATTTGACATTAAAAACAAGATGGAAGTATATGTTGGACAGTGAAAAATAAACTGAGTGCTGAATAATTATTGCTTCTGCTGTGGGAGCAGTAGTTCTGCAGAACAAAAAGTAATGCTTGTGACTATTAGTTAGGACTGTTCCGTTAGTTCAGCAGGAAGACTGAACTTAGACTGCTTGTTGAAGTTTTGCTCTTGTAACAGGAATGTCATTCAGGTTTTTCCTTTGGTACGTGTACTCTCCTTTTCATAGGTTTATGTATACATACATGTTTTTATATATATTTTACAGTTTAACCTCTCTACCTCTGAAAAAAGATACTACTCTAGCCCTCCAGATTTTAGAATTAAAATGATGGGGAATGATAGAAGAAACAAGCTTCTCATTGCTCTGATTATTTTTCCTGCTTGGACTTTCCTTCCCTCAGACCAATTGTCACTCCTCTCATGCACAGATGAGTAAAATTCTCTCTGACACAGTTTTTTTTCCACATAGAAAATGAATATGACCTCATCTTATGTACCTCACAGAATGTTTTAAGGTATAATACATGCATGCTTTCAGAGAGTACTGAAGATGAAAAGCAGTATATGATAAATATAAATCTACTTTGATCATAAAGGACACATTACTATTTTTCCTCATCTCTCTAGAAAGCAGTAATGCCATCCTCTTCTAAACATCTCTCAAATATATGTACAAAACAGGAATAAAAATAATTATTAGAAGATAAAGAATTATAAATAAACAAATACAGAAATAATTTATTTTAAGATGACAATTGGAATCTCTCTGCCTTGGCTCTTTTGATCTCCTTGATGCTCATTAAATTGTGGATGGCAGACCCTGCCTCCATATTTGAGAAAGAAACTAGAGTGCTGCTTAAGCACTAGCTAAAGTTTCAAAGGTAATGAGGCTTGGGACCTACGGACTGGAAAGAATAGATTGATTTGCATGCTTTTTCACCTCCCCTGCTGCTTATTTGTATTGTTCTTGCTTTTCCAGCCAGCTCAGAAATTCTCATCTGATTTGTTAATATTTGCACATTGCCCATAAGCATTACTGATACTCTTCAGGTAGGCAGGGAGGAAAAGCACTGCCCCACTGAGCCTCCATGACTTGAGCTGTGACACTCACTTTTATCTGCTGCCTACCCTGGAGGAGCATTACGTATTTTCCATAGCAACTGTGTCTGCTGAATTCACAAAAATAGGTTGTAAGTTTAGAGCCTATAACTGAAAGATTAAAAAAGGGGGGGTGGGAAGAATGAAAAGCCATTTCCTTGGTTCAGTCTTATAAGGATATATGCATTCTCTATTTATTTTTCTGCATGTACTCTGTTGTTTTTTACTATAATTTATTTACCTTAGGTTTGCTGTTTTTGATGTTGTGGCTTCCTTTTCTTCATATTCCTTTGCTAGTTGGAGTTGAAATATGCTGCAAAATATGAGTTTGTGTTCAGGGTGGTGCAGAACTGTTTCAGCAAAAAGCACAACAACTCACAGGCTGCTGCCTGTCTTTGCCCATCTGGGCCTGTGTGCTGTGCTAGCTAGCTGTGCAGGGCAGTGTAACACACAGGCACAGAGGTGAGTGAGTTCCTCTACACCTAAAATGGGTTCTCATGACAGGAAAGGCTTGCAAAATTGAATCTTGTATTGTAGTCTAGATGTGCTGTCCTAATGTCTTAACAATGAAAGCACACAATTGGAAAGAATTTCAAGCGTCTTACATAAAATAAAATAAAATTTAAGTTAATTCCAAACCCAGAAGCATCCTACCCTGCAACCAAATGTGCTATATATATGCTCTGTAATGTGTTCTTCCCTTGTTCTGATGTGTAATGGTTCTCCCTTCTTTTACTGGTTCACTCCAGTACAGCATGCTGAAGTGTAATGAATGATACTTGTGAAGTGCTTCTAAGATAAGCTATGGAAGCATATATGTCTATCTGCTAGTGGCTACTGCGTTCATGACATATTGAGGCACAACATGTGAGAACTTCTCTTGCAGGTGCTCACTGCTCTGCTCTCTGAAACGGTGGTGGTGCACAGCTGAGATGGATGGCAAGAGTCTCTGAAATCTGTAACCTAAAATATGCTATCACCATGCTGATTTGTTATTTTGGCATGTTAGACAAATCAATAAGTGTGGCAATGGTGATAAATCCAGTGAGTTTTTTTTTCAGCGTCTGATCTTGTTCATACTGGTGAAAGAGTTTGAAAGGTTTTAAAGGCAGAGGGAGTTGCAGCAAGACAGAAAACAAAGTTTGCTTCTAGACAGCAATACTAGCATGGAAGCTTTTTAAGTGTAACATACATCATCTATCTCTGCACATAAGCTCCTGCTGAGGCTGAATCCTAACTGGGACAAAAGCATAGCACAAGGAAGCTGCTAGTGCTTAAATATGCAGCATTTCTCCCTCTTTCCTGCCTCGTTTAAGGAGAGAACAGTGAGCATATCACATTCCCAGTAAACAATGCTTTTTTAATGCAAACAAAGTTTCCTTGCAACCTAAAAAGGAGCTGCTGAGCATACGTTTCTATTGACTTTTTTTTTCTTTAAACAGAATGGAAAAAAATAGAAAATGCTTCTTTGACCAGGACTCCTATAGGCTCATTAAAAGTTGTTTGTGAAACTAAAACACCTCCTGTTACCCATTAAGCCAGATCACTGTGGAACTATGAAAATGAAGGCATAGCTATAGAACATATAATCAGCTGTTAAAATAGAAAAAGTAAATCACGTGTGGAGAAAAACATACTGCAATGTAAAGAGACAAATCAGCAGCTTCAAATAGAGAAGCAAAACAGCATCCCCTCTACTTTGAAAAAATGCTTGTGCAGAGTGGTCTGAGATTTGAACAGATTTACAACTTTCCTTTTCATGTCAAAACTGCTGTTTTGATGCAAAGATTAAAAATTGTATCTGGATAATGGCTAGGAGAATTTAACAGTGAAATCTGACCATATCCTAACCTCCTTGGTGCTGGCTGCTGCTAGAGAAGAGCATGGGATTTTCTGAATGACATGGTGGGATGTCAGCTGGTTTTGTCTTCCATATCAGCCCCCTCAGTGATGAGCCAGGGCAATCAGAAGCCTGTTTGAACAGGGGAGAAAGGAATATCAAAAGGCAGGTTGGAATTGGTGTTAAAATGAATAGTCTGAAATCTCAAAGTTAGATTACTGGGGTAATGATAACATAGTCATCTTACAAAGAAGGCTGTTATTTTAAGAAATGGAATTTCACTAGGAAAGAAAAAGAGAGGAGAATAAAGAGATCAGTGCTACTGAAACTGTGACTGTGAGATGAAAGATGAATCTTTAATATGAAGCACTTCTTTACCTAATGAAATGACATTGGGAAATACATTTATATTGTAGATTTTTTTCTTTACCCAAGCCATAATGTTCTGAAGTAAACAGAATCACAGTTTTGTGTTTTCCCCAGAATCTGAAATGATTCAGACCAAAGGGACTCTTTTAGTAATTTTTAGACTTTTTTAGTAATAAATTTTTAGGCTTTTTTATAATAATATTAAATAGGATAACTTATTTTTATCTTAGCAGAATAACAAGACACAAGAAGTATGTATTTTAAGCAAGTAATATGATGGGTTTACCATATTTGCTATTTTGTTACTTGTCTATACTACTTTTTGAGGAGATTCCCCTGTGTTTTCGTGCAACGAATAAGTGACTTTGTAGGGAGAGCAAAGGAACAAGCACAGGAGATGTGACCCTACCTAATGCAATGGCTCTGAGGCTTCTTGGACACTGCGAAGGTGACCAGGGTATAAGGACGTGTCTGGAAAACAAAAATAAGGAATCCATCTGCATTACTCTTCCTCCACAGTGTTTGTACCATGCTGTTTCACAGCCAGAAGTAATGAACCAATAAGATCATTATTTTGTATAGGTCTCTGTAACTTGTTTACAGAGTGAGTGAGCTTCTACTTGTTTTCAACACAATTTTTTTTTTAAATGGATGACTAATTTTGAAAGAACCTTTGTCCAGAAATTTTATTTCATGTTATTATTGCTCTCCACCGTATTTGAAAAATCATGGCTGTCGGGTGGAATCCCCAGTGACTGGAAAAAAGGAAGCATTACTCCCATTTTTAAGAAAGGGAAAAAGGAAGACCTGGGGAACTAAAGGCTGGTGAGCCTCTCCTCTCTGCCTGGGAAGATCACAAAGCAGATCCTCCTGGTTACCGTGCTAAGGCACACACAAGACAAAGAGGTGATTCAAGACAGCCAGCATGGCTTCACCAAGGGCAGATCACGCCTGACCAATCTGGTGGCCTTCTATGATGGAGTAATGGCATAGGTAGATGGGGAAAGGTTCTGGATGTCATCTACCTGGACTTCTGCTAAGTCTTTGACATGGTCCCTCACCACATCCTTCTCTTTAAATTGGAGAGATATGGATTTGAAAGATGGACTATTCAGTGGATTAAGAAATGGTTTGCTGATTGCAGCCAAAAGGTTGTGATCAATGGTTCTATGTTTGGGTGGAGGTTGGTCACAAGTCCCTCAAAGATTGATCTTGAAACGGATGCTCTTCAACATCTTCATCAATGACACAGATGATGGCATCAAGTGCACCCTCAGCAAGTTTGCAGACGACACCAAGCTGAGCAGTGCAGTTGGTACAGTGGAGAGAAGGGAAGCCATCCAGAGGGACCTGGACAGGCTGGAGAAGTGGGCCTGTGAAAACATAATGAGGTTCAGCAAGGTGTTGCACTCCAGCCCGGGCAATCCCAAGCATTTATACAAACTGGAGGAAGATCTCCTTGGGAGCAGCCCTGCACAGAAGGACTTGGGAGTCCCATTGGACAAGAGGCTGGACATGAGCCAGCAGTGTGTGCTTGCAGCCCAGAAGGCCAACTGTGTTGTGGGCTGCATTAAAAAAGCGGTGGCCAGCAGACAGAGGGAGGTGATTGTCCC